CCCACACGCCTCCTCCACGTTGATAATGCATCCCTAATACCCTCAATTTCCGCTGCTTTTTTCATATTCTTCATGTCTCCCTCCCATCAGTCTGACTTTAGTCTATCGTTACTTGTTTAACCCCCTGTATCAAACCTCCCTACCAACTGCACACCTTCAGCTTCCTTTTTACATTTTTTGGTACGTATATTCTTAGACAAAAGGAAGCTTTCGGGCACTTTGCGCATGCGCAAGTGCGTGGGTGTGCCCTTGATGCCATATTTGCACTCCCCACTACCCCGTGACTCGGTGCGTCTTCTTCTTAGGTCTGCTTCCCACCTGCATTTCCCACATACTATCTTTACAAATTTATTCTCCTGCCATCCCTGCTTTAAAACACCATTACTCCTCCCTCGAGTCCTATCTACTGTTCTGTAAACGTCATGTGGACGTTATTTGGGTATAAACAACAAAAATAATGACGGGGCACCCTGTATATGAGACTATTTCAATTTTTTAAGTGCAAATCCGTTGTGTTATTTATGAATAATTAGAAAGTTGGTTTATTTTACTTGAATTTGTATCTCAGTGTTTGTTTTTCGTCTTAGAAATTTGTTAGATGCGTAACTTTTAGTGTTAATTTTATCACTTTTGTAAATTCTTCAATTTACATAGGGCGCTTTAATGTAGACACATCTGGTCAAGTTTGTGTACTTTATAAAAGGTTACATCTGGTCCTTTGCGATAAGAAGTTTTATCAGGCGAAATATAATTAACGCACGTGTGCTGTTGTTGGTAAGGAAATTCAGATGCAGCGTTCCCTTAGATACAACGAATCAACGACTGTTGCTACTAGTTTTCGCGACGGTGAAAGAGCGTGTACATTTGTTTACGCTAAATTACAGGCAGTCAGCCCTATTTGTTTTGTGGAAGACGCAGTCATTTTTTTATGATAAATTTGTGCAGAAGCAAATTCAATGCGCTCCTTAGTTGAATTAATTTAAAAATCTGACGTTGTTCGTCCGGCATTCTCAAACAATGTTGATTGTGAGAAAAAATGTAAATTTATGTATCGGGTCGTGCCTCTTGGCAACTGTCTGGGAAACAAATATAAAAAGTACTTTTTGAAAAGATCATTTCGATGTAAATTAAGATTACCGAATTGTGCCGTCAAAAATTATTACACAGCTACGGTTCCCGTGGGGACAATGCTATCTTAATGTAAAAATCATTAAATGTCATAAATACGTTTTTGTAATATTTACTGAAGAAAGTTTACATGCCCTTCTACGTTGCTTCGAGGTAATCATTGCGAGCGTTGAAGAACTACAAATATCCTCAAACGCTTTAAAGGGCTCTCAAGGAGGTTTGCGAGCCTTTCTTCTGAACCCTTTCGTGTTTCTAAGAAGGGTCTTTAAAAGTTTTAAGTTCTTGCAAAAGCAATTGAGCACATTTAGGAAGCGAGACATGGTCTTAAACGTCCCCATTCGTATTAAAAATGGGACGCGGAGCATGATATAAAATGAAGTTCAGAACAGAATACAATGTTTCCGTCATGGATGCTTTCTGGAATTTTTCAAAGCCATTATTCATTAGTAGAAAATGTTTTACTTTAATGGGGAATAGTTTATAGCATGATTTTGCAATTAATAGCTGCTCCGCCTCTGCACACTCACTTCCTTTGTTTCGTGTACGTGCAAACACATCAATATTGGTAAATCATCCCCGCGGCTGTTGCAGCTGGTTCATTACTCGGAATCGACAAGAACAACGATAACAAATAACAAAAATATTTATAAGGAAAACACTAAATGATTCACGGTTGGTTCCGCAATCATCCGATAGTCGCTGATTAAGCTGACCTTTTTTTTGTAAAATAAGAGTAAATCGTTTGATTAATTGGTGGCGAAATTCGTTCATGGATTCCATTAAATTGTTCACGTTCTGTAACTGCATTAATCAAATAGTTCATAGTTCGAAACTCTATTTACTTGCCTCAAAACTGTTGACCTCGTCATAAACAAACATAATTGTGCATGTGTATATGCTCTTTTATTTAAAGAGAAACAAGACTACATTTATTTCTGTGTCTATTATTGATTTGAGTATGTACCTGCTCGCCTTCCATTACAGTTTTTGATTCTGCATCGTCAACAGGGACCACTCAATATCCAGAAAATAGTATGCGTAAAAAAGAAGAAAAAAGATGAAAGGCATACATAGAGAACAGTGGAAGTGGTATTCCATACCCCCCAGACCCCCCGGTTCGACATTCTTCCCCAAAGCGTATGGTGCCCTTCGCCCATACCACGCAGTACAATTTTTGGAAAGAGGGCATCCAGTACGTAACACCAGGAGTCGGTGGATTATGACATCTTCGTGAGGAAATTAAGATTCGATGTCCTTTAGGAACAATTATTTCGAGAGTGCTTGGGAATAAAGGGTTTCAAGGATAATGTAACACCGGGGGGTCTGGGGGGTATGGAATAACCCCCACGAAAAGGAAGAGATCCATTTTTGTTCTCCCTACACCTATCGAAATATTCGGACGTTTGGCTGGGGGGTATTCCATACCCCCCAGACCCACCGGTTCGACATTCTTCCCCAAAACGTATAGTTCCCTGCGCCCATACCATTCACAGTTTAATTTTTGGAAAGGGATCATCCAATACGTAACACCAGGAGTCGGTGGATTACGACATCTTCGTGAGGAAGTTAAGATTCGATGTCATTGAGGAACAATTATTACGAGAATCCTTAGGAATAAAGGGTTTCAAGGATAATGTAACACCGGGGGGTCTGGGGGGTATGGAATAACCCCCACGAAAAGGAAGAGATCCATTTTTGTTTCCCCTACACCTATCAAAATATTCGGACGTTTGGCTGGGGGGTATTCCATACCCCCCAGACCCCCGGTTCGACATTTTCCCCCAAAATGTATAGTTCCTTGCGCCCATACCATTCACAGTACAATTTTCTGGAAAGGTATCATCCAGTACGTAACACCAGGAGTCCGTGGATTATGACATCTTCGTGAGGAAATTAAGATTCGATGTCTTTGAAGCACAATTATTACGAGATCCTTAGGAATAAACGGTTCAAGGATAATGTAACACCGGGGGGTCTGGGGGGTATGGAATAACCCCCACGAAAAGGAAGAGATCCATTTTTGTTTCCCCTACACTATCAAAATATTCGGACGTTTGGCTGGGGGGTATTACATACCCCCAGACCCCCCGGTTCGACATTTTTCCCCAAAATGCATAGTTCGTTGCGCCCATACCATTCACAGTACAATTTTTTGGAAAGGTATCATCCCAGTACGTAACACCAGGAGTCCGTGGATATATCATCTTCGTGAGGAAATTAAGATTCGATGTTTTGAAGCACAATTATTACGAGAGTCTTGAGGAATAAAACGGTTTCAAGGATAATGTAACACCTGGGGGTCTGGGGGATATGGAATACTCTCCAGGAAAAGGAAGATATCCATTTTTGTTTCCCCTACACCTATCAAAATATTCGGACGTTTGGCTGGGGGGTATTCCATACCCCCCAGACCCCCCGGTTCGACATTTTCCCCCAAAATGTATAGTTCCTTGCGCCCATACCATTCACAGTACAATTTTCTGGAAAGGTATCATCCAGTACGTAACACCAGGAGTCCGTGGATTATGACATCTTCGTGAGGAAATTAAGATTCGATGTCTTTGAAGCACAATTATTACGAGAGTCTTGAGGAATAAACGGTTTCAAGGATAATGTAACACCTGGGGGTCTGGGGGATATGGAATACTCTCCAGGAAAAGGAAGATATCCATTTTTGTCCCCCCTACACCTATCGAAATATTCGGATGTTTGGCTGGGGGGTATCCCATACCCCCCAGACCCCCCGGTTCGACATTCTTCCCCAAAACGTATAGTGCCCTACGCCCATACCACTCACAGTACAATTTTTGGAAAGAGGGCATCCTGTATGTAACACCAGGAGTCGGTGGATTATGACATCTTCGTGAAGAAATTAGGATTCGATGTCCTTTAGGAACAATTATTTCGAGAGTGCTTGGGAATAAAGGGTTTCAAGGATAATGTAACACCGTAGGGTCTGAGGGGTATAGAATACCCCCCAAGAAAAGGAAGAGATCCATTTTTGTTCTACCTACCATCAAAATCTTCGGACGTTTGCCCCCGGTTCGACATTCTTCCCCAAAACGTACAGTGTCCTGCGCCCATACCACTCACAGTACAATTTTTGGAAAGGGACCATCCAGCACGTAACACCAAGAGTCTGTGGAGTACGGAATCTTCGCCAGGAAAGCAAAATTTATTGTTCTTTATGCCAAACGATTGCAAGAGTCCTTAGGGCTGAACGTATCACCAGTGGATCTCGGGGTATGAAATACTTCCCAGGAAAAAAGGAATGGTTCTTCTCCGTACACCTGTAAAAATCTTCTGACGCTTGGCTGGGGGTATTCTGTACCTTGGGGGGAAACGCAAAAAAACATGTGTGTGACGCAAGCGCAGAGCCATCATTATTAAAGTAAAAGTAAGGAAGACGCATGGGAAGAAAGGCACATTATCATCTCCAACTATCTAACCTTGGATTTCTTCTTCATTTGCGTTAATTGAAGAAAAGGGTGCCATATCTTCACTCGCACCAGTATTTTGTGCGTGTGCCTATTATGGAAGTAACGATAGGAATAGCGGATAATTTTAGCACAAACGTTGTCTCGTGCTGCTATGGGAAAGCGACCTTCAACCTTGGGAAGAATTTCGACCGTAACAAAAACGAGCATTTGCATCAGCCAGCACGATGAAGATGAAGAAACCTGATTTTGTTATATACAAACACGAATTGCCGATTAGTTACGCAACGGATTAAGTAATGCGGTGCTAAAATTGGATTCGAGCAAAAAAAGCGGCTAATTAACGTTGATAGCAGTAAAAACAGCTTTGGCGATAGTGGGAGGGGGTTGATTAGCAAGTCAAAACTTCTGATATTTAAGTTGTGGGGAACTGGTGCTCGGGTCACTTTTTCTCCAGCGGTGAAGTTCAGTTTTTAGCGACAATATGGAGTTTTGGTACATCTACAATCCTTTGTTGGGCGTGGAAAACATTCGTAGAATCGCCATTTCTGCCAAGGAGAGTTTAGAATCCGTGCTGGAAAATGTGGAAGGAAGAATTTCGGTTGGATACCCGGCGGGTGGTGAAGAAATCGAGAACTTAATCGTGCAGTCCCAAGATGTAGTCGGTAATAAGCTCTTGAGGCTGAAATCATTTAAAAAGGTTAGGCAACTGTACTTGGTTAGCAATTTGGAGACGTTGAGTGAGGGTTTACTTGATGGACTGGATGATTTGCAAACTCTCTACATCTCTAAATGTACCGCACTCAACTGCATTGAGCGTGGATTCTTTAAGAACAAAAGTAACCTGAAGAAGCTTTCCATCACCAACAGCAAACTTCAATTGCAACCAGGTATGTTGAAAGGAATGCCTAATTTAAAAGAGTTGGATTTGAGCAGAAATCAGATTGAGGAATTGCCAGTTAGTTTATTCACGGACGTTCCCGACATTGAGACCCTGACCCTGGCGCATAACGACATCAAAAACCTACCAACAAAGGTGTTTTACGGGCTTCCGTTCTTAGTCGATCTCAACCTGAGCTTTAATAAGCTTAGGGGCTGGAACGACGAAGCCTTCTCCTACGTGAACATGCTTCTCCATCTCAACATCAGCAACAACGCGATAAAGGAGCTCACCCCGGCCTCCTTCAAGAGACTAAACTCTCTCGTCACCCTCAACCTGGACGGCAACTACCTCGAAAGTTTAGAAAAGGACAGCTTCATCGGTTTACCACGCTTGGACCACCTCAGCGTCAACAACAACAAGCTTCAAGAAATCCACAGCTACACCTTCGATGCCATTCGCAAGCTCAAGGTCTTGCTATTGGAAAACAACGAAATTTCCATCTTCGGCCCCGAAGTCTTCCACAACTTGGGCAAGGTCGAGTTTTTCACCTGCAATCGCAATAGCACCCCCAAACTCGAACTCGATACCTTCAGAGGCTTCTCGGGGGTAACCACTTTACACCTGACCAACATGAACATCGAAACCTTAGATGAAGATTGGTGTTCCGGTTTGTATTCCGTCACCGATCTCGACTTGAGCCAAAACAGACTCACTCACCTCCCGTCGTGCGCATTCCGCTGCACCAAAGCGCTGACTAAGCTAAACCTGCGCGACAACCTCATCGAAACCGTCGACACGCGGACATTCGACACCGTCTTCAATTTGCAGCACCTGGACCTATCCAACAACAAACTGCGACAAGTTCCCAGCAACAGCTACGACAACTTGTGCAGCGTCCTAACCCTAAACTTGGCGCACAATCTCATCGTCGCCCTGAACCCGACGTCACTGATCGCCTTCAGGGGAATAAACCAGCTGGACCTGTCCCATAACCGAATCGAGACCATCGAACCGGAGACCTTCCTCGCGACCCCCAAGCTCGCGACCCTCAACGTCAGCTTTGGCAACGTGCCGGCGGCCACCGTCTGGTTCACATCGGTCAGTTTCGTTTACGGATCCGTCGCGAAGCTGCCTGGCAAGTTGCAGGCCTTGACAAGGCTCGACATCGACCCTTGCGGTCTGACGCACATCGAATTCGACTGCGATAAATGCACGTCAACCGTCCTGAGGAAGTACGACGACGATTCGAAGACGGAAACGTGGTCGTCCAAGACCGACTCTGAAGACGTTGCCAAAGTGAGGGAGTTAATTAGGAACTATATTAATTAATGAGTATTTTTGGCTGTAATATTTTAATAAAGATTTTTGATCTAACTCAACACCTGACACCGGGTTGCAGTGCGACCAAAGCCGAAGAAAAAATGAAAAACAACATTTGAACGTTTTTATACCGAAATTGATCTATAAGTAGCGATTTTGTTCCTTTGTTTTCGTATTATTCAGATTTTAGATGTCCTTCAGGTGATTTCAAAGGGGCGCAAGAATCTCCATGAGTTTCAATGAACTTTTCAGGAACCTCAACTTTCCCAAAGAACCTCCCCATGGCATTTAAAGATTTTCAGGAGTATTCAAAAGCCCTTGAAAGTGTTTCAAAAGTCTTCAAGACTGTTGAAACCTTAACCTTCATCAGAACCTTCAAGAGTATCCAAGATAAGCCTTTTAGGGTCTTGTTCAGGCTTTCAAAGGGGCTCTTTTGATTGAAAACCTTTAGGAAGGTTTGGCATTTAAGATATTTCGTTCTTCCCAAGAGCCTTAGTAGTCGACACAATTCCAGGAGTTCCCAAAAGCCTTCCAGAAGATTCCAAAGGCTTTTTGAAGGCTTTCTCCTCTCTTTAAAAGCCAAGGATGTTAGAGTCTTAAATAAGTTTTAAAAGCATCTAATTGTACAGTTTAAAAATGCTACTAAAAATTCCTTACAAAAATACCAGAACATTTTGAGGGCTTTTGGGGGATTAAAAGTTGTTAAAATCTAACATGGGTCTCTAAAATTATAAAAATGTACAGGGTAGATAACGGTGCCCTAGGAAACAGGGCGACCTCCGAGTGGTGGCCTCTTTCCTTCGAGAAGGGGCTGGCAACCAAGCCCTGGTCAAACGACTCTGCCCAGGCGACACCGCATTTTCCCAGTACACACACAAATCTCTAAAGGCTAATGCTGTGTCTGGGTCGTTGGCGGGAGGGGGAGGGGCGTCAGGGACCAAGCGTCTCAGATCGGAGGGAAACGCTCCAGGGTCTCGTTCAGGGCATCCTGAGAAGGAACCTAGAGATTCTATAGCCACCAGTTGCGGGTGCACCACGAACCTATGGGGAAGTCGCTGCGGCGGGGCTCAGGGTGGCCATTGTTCCGGGTCGCACACCCTGGGGGGAGGCTTTCCTTGGCTGGCAGGGTTCCGCAGAAACCCGCAATAACGCCCCCAGCATCTTGGAGTGCTCCCAGAGCCAAAATCCTGGTTTCAGGGCGAGGATGTTTTCCGCCGGGTAGGTATGCTTGATGTGGAAGCCAAGTCTTGCAAAATAGGCAGAATAGTCTTGAAGACACTGATGGGGGTATTCGTCGAGTCTGAGACTAAGCATTGCTACCTCCGTTGTCAGAGCCCGAGTTAAACATGGGTGACCAGTAAATTCCAGGCCAGATCACCCGGTACTATGTTCCCCGCAGTACCTCCTAAGAGAAGAGGTAATAATAATTTTATACAGTAACAATCATGTGACTCCTCAAGTCTAAACGTTTTGTAGAAGAAATTGCTACCGGGGGGCCTGGGGGGTATGGAATACCCCCCCAGCAAAGTAAAATTAAATGGCGGTTCCTAAAAAATTATAGTAAAAGCGACGAGGGTTAAAAACCATCCAGGAAAGATAAATCTGAACCTTTTTCCAGAACCTTCGGAAATAGGAATGTAACCAACGTGCTACTGGGGGGTAGTCTGTACCCCCCCTTAGAAACCAATTTGGAAAGAAAATTCAAAGGACTGTAACTTTTGAACTAGTAGCCCAATCTTGGAACTGTTTGAAGTTGTGGATTCTACAGGCCACAATCTATAAGAAAAAATGTTTCCCGGGTCGGTCTAAGACAATTTTTTCTTCGGGCCTAAAAAAAAGGCAGTGTATAACCTTCCTTTTTTACCAAAAATCGACTGCACCAAAATTTCTCGGGAAAACACTTTTTCTTATTAATTTTGGTGCGTAGAATCCAAAACAATTCGTACTTTTTCGATCAGACTTCTCAATCAAAAGTTATAGACTAGAAACCAATTTCGGAAAGAAAATTCAAAGGGCTGTAACTTTTGAACTAGTAGCCCAATCTTGGAACTGTTTGAAATTGTGGATTCTACAGGCCACAATCTATAAGAAAATTTTTTTCCCGGTCGATCTGAGACAATTTTTTCTTCGGGCCTCAAAAAAAGGCAGTGTATAACCTTCCTTTTTAACCAAAAATTGACTGCACCAAAATTTCTCGGGAAAACACTTTTTCTTATTAATTTTGGCGCGTAGAATCCAAAACAATTCGTACTTTTTCGATCAGACTTCTCAATCAAAAGTTATAGACTAGAAGACCCCCCCCCCCCCGGTACTACATTCCCCGCAGTACTTCCTAAGAGAAGAGGTAATAATACCTAATTTTTTTTACAGTATCCATCATGTGATTCCTCAAGTTTGAACGTTTTGTAAAATAAATTGCTACCGGGGCGTCTGGGGGGGTAGCAAAGTCAAATTAAATGGCGGTTCCTAAAAAATTATAGTATAAGCGACGAGGGTTAAAAACCATCCAGGAAAGAAAAATCTGAAACTTTCTCTAGAACCTTCGGAAATAGCAATGTAACCAACGTGCTACCCCCCAGACCCCCCGGTACTACATTCTCCTCAGTACTTCCTATGAAAAGGAGTAATAATAATTCTTTTACAGTAACCATCATGTGATTCCTCAAGTTTTGTAAGAGAAATTGTTACCGGGAGGTCTGGGGGGTATGGAATACCACCCAGCAAAGTAAAATTGAATGGTTGTCCCTGAAAAATCACATTAAGAGGAACGAGTGTTAAAAACCACTCAGTGAAAATCTGCTACCTTTACCCTGAACCATCTGCAGAGATAGCAATGGAACTAACGTGCTACTGTGGAGCATTCCATACCCCCTAGACCCCCCCGGTGCTTCGTTCTTCATAGTACTTCTTAGGAGAAGAAGATATGATCATTTCTTCACAATAGCCAGGTTGACCGTTTCATGAAAAAGATTACGGTGAAAAGTGGGGGGGGGGCGGGGTATGAAATAGCCTCCAGTGTTGTGTAGCAAGTTTCTGGGTTACTTTTTCTGGGAATTACCCAATGAAGAAAGGAAGATCGTTGGTCTTCTATAGAAATCATCACGAAAGTCCACGGGATTGAACGCGCGTAGAAGAACGTACCCCCCCCCCCCTACATGTCGGATGTTTCTGCGATAGTTTTAGTACGTAAAAGTCAACTTTTTTGAAGAAACTTTTTGAGAAAAATAATCGAAACGTTGAAAACCAGGAATAGGTAAGTTCAAGAAAGTGTGTTAACTTAGGATGAAAGAATCAGGACGAAGTGGAAAGGTCATGATCAAGCTATGTATAGAAAAGAGAAAGTTTACGAATAGATCTCTTTAAAAAAACCCAAAGAAACGATGAGATAGTTATGCCGTTGTCCTTCAAAATCTTACTAACCTATTTATAAGAGAACATCAACAACGTGAAGAAGAAAGGCGGATCTTGTGGTCAAGATGAAAGTTAACGGTTCTTCACAGTACGTCATAGTGACGTCAGTGAGCGCATGCGCTTCTAAATACAAGTACGAAAGGTTTATTATCGAGGCTTTGGTCCCTTTGTAACAATTTGTTAACAACCGAATAACAATTTATTAGCGTGTCTTAAAATTATTATCACATATTGTCCTTATTTAATTAGTTTTGGTTGATACGCCTAAAGTGCCCTTTCGAATTATCGGCTCACGAATTCGAAACGGAATGTCGACCTCGGCAGTGCCAAGGAACCGACCGGAATTTTGTAGGTTTGACCGTCGACCGGGGCGATTGTGAAGTTTTGCAGTAAGCCGCTCACGATGCCGAAACTGATCAGCTGGACCATTTTGAATCCCATGCAGCTCCGCCGTCCGCCGCCGAACGGGAGGAAGTGCTCGGGTTTGATGATGCGATTGTTTACGATAAACCTTTCGGGTTTGAATGCGTCAGGTTCTTCCCACAGTTTTTCCGACATGCTCAAGTCGTGGTTGTTGAGGAACACGAGGGTCCCTTTCGATATCCTGTAACCTGGAGAGGTTTCCGTTAGGGGTCGACTCCGAGATGGCGAGGGGTGGGGGACTTACCGTTAATTGACGTGTCTTGGTTGGCCGCTCTTGGAACGATCGGTGACGCAATCAGGCGGATGGCCTCGAAGACTGCGGCCTCGGTGTACGGCATTGAGCCACGGTCGGAAATGGAAATCGGCCTCCGTTCGCTTCCGGCGCACCCGTCGATCTCGCGTTGTATTTCCGCTTGCACCTCCGGCCGGGTCACCAGGTACCCGAGCAGCTTCATTACAAAGTTACCAACGGCGGAATGCCCGCCGATGATGTCCTCCAAGGCGAAGAGCGCGTTCTCCCAACTCATACACGATGATTCCTCGTTCCTCACGTGCTGTATGAGGCTCTCGACGTAATCGCTCGGTTCCTCGTCGGCGTAGCTCTCGTAACGTCCATCGATGACGTCATCGATCAGGAAGTGGCGAATCTCGTGCGCCAGCTCGCTCATCTTCTCCAAGCGGTTGTAGTGCAACGGCAGTAGAAACGGTAAAAAGTCGGCCGCGTAGCCTTGGTTGACCTCGTAGAAGATGTCGTCGAAATTCTCGATCATGCGCGCGAACCCCGGGTCGTCCACGGGGAAGCTCTTGGAGCAGAAGTGCTTGGTGAAGATGTTGGCGCAGCTGTACAGTATTTCGTTTTTGGTCTCGCGTGGTCCGTTCGCGAGGCGCGTTACCAGGCTCGATGTCTCGTTGGAGATGATGTCCTCGAGCGCGGAGAACTTGTTGGAGCAGGCCCGCGGAAAGGTGTGGGTCTTGAGCATTTCGCGGCGGACCTTTTGCGTTTCGCTCCAGTCGCAGAAGGCCAAAGCTGTAAACGGTGACGGTTATAGAGAGGGGTATTTGCGGAGGAATTGGGTACTTACAGTTCTGCTTGTCGCCGCCGAAGAGCTGCTGGTATCGCTCGAAGTTGGGGCGGCTGTCGAAGTGGTGGCCTTTCGAGACGAGAACTTCGCGAATGTTCTCCTGTCCGTTAATCACAACACTGTTTACGTTCCCCAGTTTCAGTTTGATGACGTTGCCGTACTTCTTCGCGAGATTCGTAAACGCCTGGTAGGGAACGGCGTATCCGCCGAGAAGGTGAAGGTGGCCGATGATCGGCAGCGATCTCGGACTTGGAGGTTCCGGCAGGTCCGTGCTCGTCGTCGACGGTTTCTTGTTCAGTTCGATTAGGATGAGAATTAGCGCAATAAATAGGATGACGATTAGGTACGTTGAGAAGGTGGTGAGGTAAAGGTGGTGAAACATTTTGTACAGGGTGTGTGGGAAAAATTGGACAAACCTGTTCGATAACGTTCTCGAACGCAATCAAACGTTGTCTGCTGAAACACTCGAACTTCTATTCTTTTATATTGTTCGAAGAGACTGAATATTCAATTGCATCTCATTGATTTTAATGTGGATCTCGAAAATATTTAGCATACGCTCTGTTAATACAATTACATTGTATTACCCGATGGAATTTACTTAACAAATGTTGGGGATAAGAAGGCGATGGTTTTTTGGGAAGACGATTTTCAGATATTATAAATAATTAATCGCCGGAAATTGTAGGTACTTACTTAGAATTGATTCGATTTTAATAATTTCGCAAATTTTGAACTGCCTATTTACGTATTGACGTTACCTAAACATATTTTTAAAGTCAAGTATTTCTGAATTGCCTTTTTGACAGTTTATGGCCTAGAAGGGCCTCACAGAATTTTTCAAATGTGCCAATTTTATTTTTTACAAAAGAAAAAAAATCGATAAGAGATCTACATCAATCTCACGAACTTATAACCTTTCACGGGTCTACCGATAGCAAGAATTTTTGAAAATTTTCAAAAATGCGACAAAACGTCATAAATGTGTTGAAGATTTCAAAAGATTTCACAAATATTGAGAAATACATATAAAATAACAGAAAACTGCAAAGTGGAAAAAATATTTGAAATTTGAGTTTCCAAAAAACAATGGTAAAGCCTTTTCAACTTTTTTTGAATATTTCAAAATAATTTTAAAAAACTTCAGAAAGACCATAAAGATTTGAAAAATATTTTAAAAAGTGAGATATATAAATTGAAGTGACTTCAGGCGAGAAAGAAAGTGATTTCACGGGTAGCCTCAGACGACGAATTATCTTGCCGTGTGTTGTCAAGCGAATCGTCTTCGTGGCGATATTTAGAAGAACACCGAGAACCAAGTATCGAAATCGTACGAAAGTTTAGCGAGATACTCGAAAATCTCGCGACAGACGTTCCGTGATCGGTCCGTGCAAAGCCCAACTTAGCAGCCAATTCCATTCCCACATAGAATCGACGAAAAGTTCCGCCTAACTTTGGTCGGTCCGTGTGCGTCCAACTACGTCCAAGTTTTGGGGGCGGATCCACACCACTTTACATTGAAGCATCCACAACGCGCAGAGAGAGCTCCTAGTGTATAAATAATCGAAGTATTTATAAATAATTACCTGTGTCGTAGCTTGCCCCTTTATACAGGTTTCACAAGGAATGGTACTACGGTAATATGTCGAAGAGTTGTTCATTTTAAGCATAAAACTGCCTAAAAACATGTGCTCGATTCTCAAAATGCATACACTGATTTAGTAGGTGCACAAAATATCGAAATTCAGACTTTAAAGAAAGAGGTCGAATATCCCACTGCTCTCTTGCAGTTTTCACACACTGTGGTCTGATCATTTACCTTACAGGATTGTTCCGGCTAGACCCCATTTATTAAAATGTGTCCTCCCCTCCTACAGCAAAGGCGATATTTTAAGAAAAACAAAAAGCAATGTAATTTTAATAAATAATAATAATAAAGAGTATTGACTTATCCTTTACCTCTGATCCTTGAAGCCAGAAGAAGGTTATTGACCGACGAGCAGCCGAGGCATATTAATATAAAACCATCACAAGAACCGCACCCGATGGAATTAACCAGAAGAAGTAGGAGAAAATTAAAACTTGTAACATCCGTTACATCTAGGGGGTGTTCCATACCCCCAGAGCTATGATCTTTCCACAACATGTTTAGTACCCTCACCACTTAAACCTAAAGTTTTCAAAAGAGGTCTCTTAAGGCTAAACGTTTTAAGAAGGAAAGTATTACCGGGGGTATGGGGTAACCCCCCGGTACATGAAGGTCTTATCCCCCCCCCCCATCCCACAGACCCTCCAGATCCTCCGCTATGTTCTTCCCCCAACATGTTTAGTACGCTTACCACTCACACAAAATGAAAAGAGGCCTTACGGCTGAACGTTTTGAGAAGGATCACCGTGAGGTCTGCGTGGTATTCCATACCCTCAGCCCCCCTCACCTCCCGGTTACACTAAACTTCCTAAAATGGTTAGTACCCTTGACACTTACACCAAAAGTTTTGAAAAGGCGCCTCAGGGCGGTCGCACTCAGAATCAGTTCGGTCGCTAGTCAAAGACGCCTTTAGTCATTTGTGTCTCTTTGACTGTTACTGACTGCTCCTGTGGGGGGGGGGGGGTTTAGTCACTGGGCGCCATTGTCCTCTGCCCCCCTTGATTTGCAGTTCACATGTCCAGCAGATTTTTATAATGTGGGGCCAATGTCAGTACCAGTACACGAAGATCTTGTGTTAGCTGTAGAAGAATGAGCATTGATTTTGTTCTACCCCCCCCCATGGTCCATGGTACTATGTTCTTCGCCTAAATTTTTAGAACTCTTAGTATTTATCTCAAAATTTTTGAAAAGAAGCCTTAGGGCTGCACCATTTAGGAGGTCAAGCATAACCAGGGGTATGGTACTCAACCCCCCCCCCCCCCCATTGCCAGTTACTTATGGAACAAACCCCCCCTCACGCACAGGAGCAATGAGTATCAGTGTTAGTTTTGATGGGATCGAATAAATACCTTCCCTTTTAAAACGTTCACCTGTAAGAACTCTTTTCAAAAGTATTGGTGTAAGTGGCAAGGGGGAGAGTTTTCCTTTTCCTGGTGAGTTGGGATACTCCCCAGCCCCCGGGTCAACCCGGGCGAGGCGAAGCGTCGCAGCCGCTGAAACCATGGCCTCTGTTGTATTAAAAGGAATACATAACATCGGTTTCGGCGGCTAGGCCGTCTCACATCGCCAAGTAATACACTAGGGAGCATAGCTTCGGCTTCGACGGCTGCGCCGCCTCGCCTCGCCCTATAACTACGCCAACTCTACCGAAAACGGAGCGTTTTCTTGGATGATTATATAGATAGAGCGAGGCGAGGCGGCGCAGCTGCCGAAGCCGAAGCTATGTTCCCTATTGTATTTTTTTTTAATATAATAGGGGACATAGCTTCGACTTCGGCGGATGGGCCTTTTCACCTCGGGTCTGTTACTACGGCAAACCTACCGAAGCTGAAGCATTATCTCGCCGAAGCCATGGCCTCGATTATATTAAAGGGCTAGGCCGTACCACCTCGCAAAGTAAGGGGGCATAGCTTCGGCTTCGGCGGCTGCGCCGCCCCGCCTCGCCCTGTTTCTACGGCAACTTTGCCCAAACTGAAGATGGTTGGCTTTTTCCAAAAACAAAGTGGAGTTGATATTACTAACGCCATCTGTGGGTTAGTCCCGGGACTTATTGAACGATGTATTAGTTGTAGGAGAGAGCAGACCAGACCACCCGATAAATTGGGTACGGTTGCCACTTTTACACCAAAATGTTCGAAAATATGCCTTAGGGCTGAACGTTTTGAGAGGGAAGGTGTCAAAACCCCCCAGTTCACGAAGGTCTCATGTTAGTTGTAGGGAAATGAAGATTGCGCTTCTTTTTCCTGATGGGCATCCCATACTCCCCAGGCCCCTAAACAGAGGTTAGTACCCTTGACACTTACACAAAAGCCAAAGGCCATAGAGCTAATCGTTTTGAGAGGTATAATAATACCATAGATTAGAAAAACAATTAATCTATGGTATTACCGAAAGGTTTGGGATGTATGGATGGAGTACTCCCCGTACACGAAAGTCTTGTATTAGTTGATTTTCTTTTTCTTGGGGGTACTCCCATAAATAAAGGTTGGAATTGGCTGGACATACATTTTTCCACATTGGAGTGCCTACCAGCCTGCTCTGGAATGGCTTTAGGATCTTTTAGGGAATGGCTGGACCATGAGAGAGAATATCCTAGTTTTCCTCTTCTTTTTTTTTGGCGCTGGAAATGGTTGGGCACTAGTGACCACTAAACCTCCACAACGCAGCCCGATCGTGACGGGAAGGTCACCCAGTTTTTCCAAATTTGTTTTCGTACTTTCCGCGTGTCTATAACTCGGTCAGAAGAAGTGACCGCTTTATGGAGATCCAATCGCCACGATGATTTATACTTTTAAGGGATGTCCTGTTTACTTGATCGATAGTATTCAAACGAAGTCCAGAATAAAAGAAGGAAAAGGGAAAAAAAGTATAAAGAGACATTTAATTCACAGACTGAATACGTTTAGCATAAATACGGAAAGCATTACGAGCACTTAGATTTTACAATTACATTGGATTTTAATGAACGTGTAACTACGAGCTTCAATGGTATAGATTTCAAGGTCGCCGCCGTCGCCATTTTAGTTTTGGAGAGTGCTACGCGCGCGCAAATTAAAATTGGAACTATGCAAATTTGGCGGGATTTTTAACGCGGTATGGAAGGCTGCGCGTCGATGATGTATGCAAAAATAATATGCAAGGATGTGGGAAATAGCGGCGGTGCGCCCTTGAAATTTAAATAAACGATGTGCGTACACCAGACAAATCGACTTTTTTTCTTGACCACGGGCAATGCTGAATGTATTAACTCTTCTTTTTGTAACAGAAGTTATTCAATATCCCTTTTATTATAGCTACTTAGATCTTCAAGACCATTCCATATTTAGACTCGTCGCGTTTAGGGTCACGCCAAGGCCCTTGATTACCATTTTAGAAAGAGCCCAAACATTTCGAGATTGAGAGTACCAAAAATATTGAGGTAAAGATATCCGAAATCTTCGTACCAATTACCCCAAAAAAAAATACCCTTCAGCTCGATAATTTTATGATAGGTGTAGGGAAATGCACTCCTCCTGGGAGGTGTTGCCTGGGGGGTATTCCATACCCCCCGGTTCCTCGTAGTTATCCCTCAAAACGTTCAGCCCCAAGGTCTCTCGGGTTATTTGCTAATAAAAGGCCATCGAATTTCACTTTCTTCAGGAATATTCCCTACCACACAGGATTCTGGAGTTCCGTTCGGTGGTTCCCCTCCAACAATTGTAGGTTCGAAAAGCTCAAAGTGTTTTTTTGGAAGAATGTAGAACTGGGGGTCTGGAATACCTCCCAGTACCAGAAGAATTTTCGAAAGGTGTAGGGAAATGCATTAAATCCCTTTTCTTTCTGGGTGTGGTGCCTGGGGGGTATTCCAAACTCCCCCAGACCCCCCGGTACCACGTAGTTATCCCTCAAAACGTTCAGCTCTAAGGCCCCCCGGGTTATTTTCTAATAAAAGGCCATCGAATTTCTCTTCCTTCAGGAAGATTCCCTACCCCACAGGATTCTGGAGTTTCTTTTGGGGGTTCCTTTCCAAGAATCATCTGGAATACCCCTCAGCGCCAGAAGAATTTACGAGACGAGTAGGGAAGTGCATTAAATCTCTTTTTTCCTGGGAGGTGTTGGCTGAGGGGTATTCCATACCCCCAGACCCCCGGTGCCACGTAGTTATCCCTCAAAACGTTCAGCTCTAAGGCCTCCCGGGTTATTTTCTAATAAAAGGCCATCGAATTTCTCTTCCTTCCGGAATATTCCCTACCCCGCAGGATTCTGGAGTTCCTTTTGGGGGTTCCTTTCCAAGAATCATCTAGAATACCCCCCAGCGCCAGAAGAATTTACGAGACGAGTAAGGAAGTGCATTAAATCTCTTTTTTCCAGGGTGGTGTTGCCTGGGGGTTATTGCATACCTCCCAGACCCCCGGTGCCACGTAGTTATCCCGCAAAACGTTCAGCCCTAAGGCCTCCCGGGTTATTTTCTAATAAAAGGTCATCGAATTTGACTTTCTTCAGGAATATTCCCTACCCCACAGGATTCTGGAGTTCCTTTTGGGGGTTCCTTTCCAAGAATCATCTGGAATACCCCCCAGCGCCAGAAGACTTTACAAGAGGTGTAGGGAAGTGCATTAAATCTCTTTTTTCCTGGGAGGTGTTGGCTGGGGGGGTATTCCATACCCCCCAGACCCCCCGGTACCATGTAGTTATCCCTCAAAACTTCCAGCCCTAAGGCCTCTCGGGTTATTTTCTAATAAAAGGCCATCGAATTTCTCTGCCTTCAGGAATATTCTCTACCCAGCAGGATTCTGGAGTTCCTTTTGTTGGTTCCTTTCCAAAAATTATCTGGAATACCCCCCAGTGCCAGAAGAATTTACGATAGGTGTAAGGAAGTGCATTAAATATCTTTTTTCCTGCGGGCTGTTGCCTGGGGGGTATTCCATACCCCCTAGCTCTCAGAGAGAGAAATTTAAAGGAATTTATGCATAAATTAATCGTTAAATTAGTCGTTGTGTTTTATTAGGAATTTTACGAATGTTTCTCCAGATTTGCAACCATTATCATACATTTTTATCTACCTACACTACACGCTATTTACTTAGCATCACATCACATCTTAAATTAACATCCTAATTAATTAAGCGTAAACACAGATAATCACATTACCGCCTTGTGAATAATTAAGCAATTGCGTACCGAATCGTTATCATTCACAAGTTTATCACATTTTTAATATCCTAATATTCTAAAATTAATTTGGCGCCACAACACAGTTACTGCTTACATATTATTTGCACATAATTCAAGTAATTAGCCTAAAATGAGCCTCTAGTTATGCACGAAAAAATCACGTAATCGGTTTGTGCCTAAGCTTAAGCGGTTCGTTCCGGAGCTAGACGAACGACTGGGATTTTGCGCACTTTACTTTCACCTTCCCATCGTCAACGACGATCTTCGCCCGCCGCAGGTGCTGAAAGACGCCCTCGTTGACGCATTCGAACCGATTTCCGTACAGGTTCATCCGCTGCAGGTACCTCAACCCGGCGAACGTCGTCGCGCCGACGCGCTCCAAGCTGTTGTTGTTCAAAAACAGCTTCCCCAAGTGCTTCAAGCCGTAAAACGCCCTCCCATTTATGACGCTGATGTTGTTGTGGGCCAAATTCAGTCCCCATAGGTTCGCCAGGCGAAGAAATCCGTAGGAGGAGAGCGACTGTATGCGGTTGTGGTCGAGGTGGAGGTACCAAAGCGAGTCCAGCGAGGCGAAGGCGCCTGGAGGGAGCTTGCGTATTTTGTTGTGGGAGAGATGGAGACTTTTCAGTTTGGTGTTTTGGCCGAAGAGTATGGGGTCGAAGTCGGCGATTTCGTTGTGGCTCAAGTTGAGGTACTGCAGGTGTATCGCGCGCGAAAATAGGCTTCGGTCGAGGTGCTCCAGGCGATTGTGGCTCAGATCCAGGTGGGTTAAATTGTGCAAGTCGTCCAACGTGCCGAATTCCACAGTGGAAATGTTATTGTGGCTCAGATTGATGACTTGAAGCCTTCGCGAGTTTTCAAAGTCAGCCTGTTGCAGAGCTGAGAGCTGGTTGTTGTTCAAATATAACGTGGAGGCGTGGACTAAACCGTAGCTTAACCAATTTAGGCTCTCCAGCTGATTGTGGCCTAGAAACAACGTGTCCAGCCTAGGGTTTCTGGCAAAGGTCTCCGGGTGAATCTCCCTGATGTGGTTGTTCTGCAGATCCACGTGTATTAAGCCCGGCAAGTTTGGAAGCATCGCTTCGTGCAAAGACCGTAGTGCGTTATGTCGCAGTGTAAGCTTTCCAAGCTTCGCCATGGACAAAGAGCCTGGTTCAATCATCGAAATTTGGTTGTTGTCCAAATTTAGCTTCTTCAAATTGGGCACCTTGTTAAAGTTGTCAACCGAGAGCTGCCTAATTTGGTTTCCACCGAGTAATAGAAAGCTGAGCTGTGGCAGATCGGCATGGAAAAGACTTGTGACGTTTGCGATTGTGTTCCAGCTCAAATCCAAGAGCTTCACGCTTCTAAGACAATCAAACACTCGACTAGGAAAGTGGTTGGATCTCGACAGTTGGAGCTGCTCCAAGTTCTGCAGACCATGAAGTGCCCGTTTGTCGACGGTTTCAAACTCTCCCCAAATGGTTAGACACTTCAACGAGTAAAGCCTGGAGAAGATATCTTCGGGTACAATGGGCGTCTCGAGCACCAAGTTTAAAATTTCGAGCTTTTGAAGATCTTCAAACGTCCTGGGGTTCAGCGGCACGTTTGCGCCAATCTTTACATTGAGTACGTAATGGCGGTCTAACCCTTCGGGAACCCTTCTAATTAACTGACTCAGGCCGTTTTCGTTACGAGCGTCATAGTAGTCGACTCCCATATGCGACGTTAATCCATACTCGGGAATATCAGTGAAGGAATTGGAGAGCAGCATCAAATAATTAATTATAGTGGCGTTCACCATGGTTGCTCTGGAAGAAAAAAGTGATAAGATATTTTTTCTTCCCTTTCCCACTTTCTCTTCTCTATGGTTTTTATTTGACTAAATGCGCACTCCTCCTCCTGAAAAGTGCCTAAAGGAATTCCACGTCCCTTTCGCACCTTTCCAATTCTTACCAAGCGCTACCTTTGCCCTTTCGCTCGGAACATTTGATAGGACGCACAGCCGGATGCTCAGAAAAGCGATTGTGAAAAGTGTAGGTATAATAGGCCCTTCGAACCCTCCTGCATTCGAAGTAACTGACGAACTCAAAAAGTAAAGGAATATGAAGAATGCGAAGAATGTGAAGAATGTGAAGAATGTGAAGAATGTGAAGAATGTGAAGAATGTGAAGAATGTGAAGAATGTGAAGAATGTGAAGAATGTGAAGAATGTGAAGAATGTGAGGAATGTGAAGCGATTGTGAAGAGAATGTGAAGAGAATGTGAAGAGAATGTGAAGAGAATGTGAAGAGAATGTGAAGAGAATGTGAAGAGAATGTGAAGAGAATGTGAAGAGAATGTGAAGAGAATGTGAAGAAAATGTGAAGAGAATGTGAAGAGAATGTGAGGAATGTGAGGAATGTGAAGAATGTGAAGAATGTGAAGAACGTGAAGAACGTGGAGAACGTGAAGGATGTAAAGGATTTGAAGAATGTGAAGGATGCAAAAATGTGAAGAATCCGAAAAATCCGAAGAATCCAACGAATTCGAAGAATCCTAAGCATCTGAAGCATCTAGATCATGCGAAGCATCTTCAGGAAGCGAAGCATCCGAAGCGCCTAAAGCGTCTGAAGCATCTGATGCACCTGAGGCACCTGAAGCATCTGAAGCATCTGAAGCATCTGAAGCATCTGAAGCATCTGAAGCATCTGAAGCATCTGAAGCATCTGAAGCATCTGAAGTATCTGAAGCATCTGAAGCATCTGAAGCATCTGAAGCATCTGAAGCATCTGAAGCATCTGAAGCATCTGAAGCATCTGAAGCATCTGAAGCATCTGAAGCATCTGAAGCATCTTAACCATTTGAAGCATCTGAAGCATTTATTGGTTTCTACCATACAATCGAGGTTCAAGTGTATTTGCTGAACGAGTCGTTTGCACTGCTACCACCTGCCTCACTCGCGCAGTTTGATAGGCAATACCACCGCACGTTGCGCGCTTCTAAATTATCGTGATGCAAAGTACCTGATGGGTAACTGAGACCGTGTTAGGTTCCTTGTTTCCTTGTTTTTCTTTTGTTAAACGAACGGAGACGACAGTTCCAAGTTTTCTCATTCTTACCAGGCATATTCTACGCTACTTGCACCGTCTGTACAGCTACACCCGACAGCCCGCTCCGCCCACAACGACATCACCGACCCCCCATCTTTTTGGAATGATCTTAGTGACTTTGTGTGTCATTTTAGGTTTCCATATAAGTGCGTGGCCGGATGTGGTGAGGTATGTCTACTTCTTTTTCGTTGACTGAACCCTTAACGTTCGTTCGAACTGACAAGCTGCAGCACTCAATGGAAATTATACGTACGAATTACTAAGAATTCAATTCAATTAATGAATGTTAAATGAAAATAACAAAGCATATTAATAATATCGAGCATCTAAAAATGACTCGGACACGAATCTACAAACAAAGTGATCTTTGGGATCGGAAGATGGAATAGTGAGTAAATACAAAATTTATTCTTTAAAAAACGCTATGTACATAGTGAAATCTCACTGTATTTTGTGAACTTTTAGCCATATATCTCCCACAACCGACAGAATGATGCTGTTGGCGTTGTACTTGAGAGGAACCTTGGTTTTTTCGCTCAAAGTGAAACGGAAATTTTTTAAAAGTAGCGCCAATCCAACCGCCACTTGCATAAGTCCGAAGCGCAGACCTGAAATTTTCCATCATTATTTTGTCGAGAAGTCGACGGACGTACCGATGCACATTCGCGGTCCCTCGCCGAACGGCAAGTAGGTAAAGGGCTTGATCGTCGGCTTGTTTTCGGCGCTGAATCTTTCGGGGTCGAACTGTTCGGGGTTGGGGTAGTAGTCGGGGTCGTAGTGGATGCCGTAGACCGATACGGTTACTGCTGTGCCTTTCTCAATGGTCAAGTTGGTACCGGGCACTTTGTAGTCCTTTACACACCTTCTCACCAGGTGGGGTAGCGGAGGGTACTTTCTCAAGGTTTCTAAGGTGTTGGAGTTTGAGTGATGCGACTGAAAATCGTTGGTACTCACCGTCGATGACCTGCCTCGTGTACTTCAGTTCCTTAATAGCTTCGTAAGTAAGTTCGTTGTGAGTGCCCAAAACTGACTCAATCTCCTCCCGAACCTTCTCCTGCATGTCTTGGTGTTGGGCTAATTCGAACAAACAGAATGATAAAGTTGAAGATGACGTTTCAAATCCAGCGACGAAAAACAGAAATGCTTGCGCTGTCATTTCGGTAATTGACAAGTGGGGTTGCTCTTCTTCGTCTGTGCTGTTCTTCAAATCCAGCAAGACTTGCAGGAAATCGCCGCGCTTAACCCCACTTTTTTCTCGCATTTCCACCGCCTCGCGAACCAGCTTCTGAAAGACATTTGATACTTCAGCAGGAATGGTTCGGATCCCCAGTTTTAAGGCGAGGTTCGGGTTGGAAAACGCCAAAAAATTTCTGGCACTCTCCCATTTGGTCCACATGAATGCACGCTTTCCGGTAACCCTGAACTCTGAGTTCGGCTCCTTGAAGCTGTTGCAGTCGATCCCAAACGCGCACGAGCCAATCACGTCGGTGCCGAAACGTCCCAGCCAATCCTTAATGTCGATAGGTTCTTCTGTGCACATCGCCTCAACCATCTGCCTTCCGCACTCAACGAGCAGAGGAAACATCATCTTCATCTTCCCTGAGGTAAACGTGGGAGTCAGCTTAGCTCGCAGCTTCTTCCACTTCGCCCCCCGCAGCGCTGCCAGGTTCGCACTGAGAGGATCGTCCTTCTCGTTCGAATACACACCGCGATCAACGAAGTGCTCGAAATCACTGGAGAGCACATTTCTCACGTACTCCAAGTCGATGGCCAAGTAAGTGGGCTTCGTAAATGTGAATAGTCCCACGTGTCGAAGCCCTTTCTGTTTAGACTCCGCATACTGGCCCTTGATGGTTAACCCGAAGTTCGCTTTCGGACGTAACGGATTCTGCATGGTGCCGAAAGGGAAGGAGGGTCGGATGTAAGGTAAGCCCTTTCTTTCCCAGTATTTAAACCTCCATTTGAAGAACGTGATTAGACCGATCACGCAGGCTATTACCACGGCCAGGAAATCGGCGCATGCGCAGTTGAAAATCGTAGCCATTCCAACATACTGAAAGAGGAATTCAAGTTTATCTTCTCGCTGAATCCTTTGGTATGAAGAATATTGGATGCAGCTCCAGTTTGATCTTCATTCACACAGTTTCAGTAGCACAATGATACTTTGTCTAATGTCCCTAACAGAATGGCGCCCTAGCACAACCCCAATAACCATGGTTCACCTTTCACGCGTGACTGTACCAAGCTTAATTTAAACCTTAAATAGCAGACAAACCAGCAAAACACCGGAAACAAGAACAAAATCAAAAGAAAATTGCCAAAAAGGAAGAGCAGGGATTAGAACGATACTAGAAGAAGAAAATACTAAACCAAGGAAAAAGAAAACCCAAAAAACCAAAACGTAAGAAAAACAAAAGGGAAAATGAAAATAAAGGAAAAATATACTAACCAAGGAAGAAAATAGGAAGAGATCGGCTTAAGATAAACCACATAGGGAGTCAACAGGGGACTAAACGCATAGTAAAAAGGGACTGAACAAACTTTAAAGAGACCATAGGATCCGAAAGCACCAAGAGGGCTACCTAATTTAAAAATTCCAAAAGCTTTAAGGAAACCAAAGAGACTAAAAATATCCGAAAAATGGCTAACAAACTGAATCCGAAAGAAAGAAACCAGAAAAATCGAAATATAATAAAAAGGGAACAAACAGAGGGACAATGAAGGAAGAGAACTTAAAGGGCTATAAAGGTGGTATACCAGACCCTAGAAGCGAAGCTGTAACAGTTGATTTCTGGAATCTGAAGCATAAAGGAGAAAGCAAACAAAGAAGACCAAAAAGACCAAAGTGCCTACATAATTCAAGGAGATGAAGAAAGCTTGAAAAGTGACGAGGAAGATTAGAAATGATTCAAAAGTAGACCTAAAGATGAAAACAAAAGAGGACGGAAAAGTGAGACAAGGATAAAAGAACCAAAAAGGTTAACAAGATATTAAAATGCCAAAAAAACGGCTGAAGGTACCCAAGAGGCGAAGAGACCATAGATACAATTAAGACAAAGGTACTAAAAAGGGTTAAAGGGCTAAAGAAGATAACTATAGAAAGCCGGATCCTCTTTGGTTCGGATCCGGGTTCAGGCATGAAAATCGGTAAATGTATAGTGGGTTGCAGCCTTGGTTGAAACCCCGCCCACTTAATAAAAACAAAAAGAGGGAAATTATAGGTACTAGAGCCTAGAAATCAAAAATTCACACTTGGGCCTCAAAAATTGAGGCTAGGTTTGGGTTACAACAAATCTAAACCTACTAACCACCAGAGGAAACAAAGGAACCGATGGAAGGAAGAATAGACCAGAGATACCAAGGAATCCAAAGAGACGAAAGGAAATCGAGGGATCTAGGGAGACCAAATTAGAGGAAAAGTGACGAATTACCAAAAAGATACTAAGAATGGATTAAGAGAGACTTAAAGGGAACTAACGGGTTTAACAAGGATAAAAAGCACGCCCAATGAGGGCAAAAAGCAAAAAGGACTAAAAGGAGCCAACGCAACCAAATGTGGCGACAGATTCAAAAAATAGGAATAATTTCAACAGAGAGGCTCAAAAATAGTTCTAACAGAGTGAAAGCCTATAGTAAGACAGCAGAGAAGAGATTAAGACACCAAAAACAGACTCGAGGTGCTAAACAGACTAGAAAAACTAAATAAACCAAGGAGATTAAAGAGAGAAAAGGACCACCAAGAGGAAGGGGATAAAAATAAAAGCGACTTAATAAAAGAGTCTAAATACCTAGTAAAAAAGGGCTAAAAGACTAAAGCGAGACTAAAAAAGACCAAAGGACAGATATCAAAAAATGCTAGAGAAAAGAAAGTTGATAAAAGTCCATAGAAGCTAAGGTTAAACTTTAAAACTACCTTTGACTCTTGA